CATATCCTCGGCTTCAAACAAAAATCAGCCCGATTGGAAACGGTAGCATGCCCACTCACTGACCAGCAGTCGGGGAAAAATTCGAAATCTGACCCCCGCGATAGCCTTTCTATGGTTTCCAACCCCATGTGCACCTCTCCAGGTCCGCTATCGCTTCTTATCGTCACACCCTCACACCTACTCGCGCTCGCCGCGGCCGGAGCTGATGCACCGCGAGGAACTCGACACCTGTCGCTCGGGTTCATCAGCTTCATCGTCTGATCGGAACAACGGATTGTTCGCGCATATACTCGCGGCCGCGGCCCGGTTGGTGGCTGAGATGCTTGTTGGCCTTCGCGTCGACAAGGTGTTCGCGCGCTTGCTCCCATCCGCTCCGCACGTCAGCCGCACCGCAGCAGCGATGGCGTGTCGCTCCCGTTCGGATGTTGCCGCCGCCGCCTCCGCCGCCCTGGTTTTGCTTGCGTCGGCTGTCTTGGTTCACGCCGTGAGTACAATACCAACACGTCAGCCATAGTTTCGCACTCTCCATTTGTATCGAAGGCCATGTTCTCCTCATTAAAAACGTGTCAAAAGTAACTCATTCAGGACAATGTACGCCACTGGGTGTACCAGAGCGGAAGATGCAGTGTTGCGGGTTTGCCTGCTCGCTCCGCCCGTAAAGCGCCATATGGACCACATGGACCCTGCGATCCAAGAGGATATGCAAGCATGCAATCTCGCAACGCTGCAACGTGCGCTCTGATACACCCGCTATACAGCCCGTTCAAATTGCTAATAGTGCTCATGCCCTTTAATGTGTATATACTGCTTCATGAAAGTTCTTCACCGTTCCAAGAGTGTGTATAATGTGTCATCTTCATCGGCCTGCTGTGCCGTTTACACAATACCATCGTTCGTTCTTGCGGCCGGCAGGCTCCCGGCGCGCGCACCGCACGAGGCGCCGTGGCCTCCCCCGCGCACGCCATCCTCCACGGCAGCGTGGCCGCGCACGCCCGCCACTCCCGGAGCATCCTCGACGACGACCTCCTCACCGCGGGGCTCAACATGATCGCGGGGTCCTCGTGCTCGTGCCACCGCCTCTCGCT